CAAATGTTAGTGTGGTGAGAGTGGTCAGAATTCCTGTCTCCCAGGGAGAAAATGTCAGAAGACACACCAGGCAAGCACACCCTTTTCTTTTACCCAGAGTGTTACTCCCAATCCTCTATTTGGCTTTGATCTGAGCTAGGCCATCTTGGAGCCATGATCACTGCTTAAAACTTATTAGAATGATAGTGGTTCATCAAATTTCCTGCCAGGGATATTTGGTAATGTCTGGAGTTGTTCTGAGCTTCACAACTGGAGGATGGTACTAATGGCACATAGAGACTATGGATGGTAGTAATAGTCTGCAATGCACAGAACAGCCTCAAGACAAAGAAGTATCTGGCTCTAGATGTTAATCCAGCCCCAGTGTACTGAGGTTGAAACACTCTCTAGAAGTGAAACCCAAAGGGCCTGCTCCCATCCTCTTGCCCACAGTCTGTATCCCTTGGGTCCCTCTGGCAGCTGGGAGAGGAAGTGTGATTTCTGGGAAATTCTTTCCAGTCTCCTGAATAGTGGGAAGTATAGTAAGGCAGCTATCCATTTAGATGGGGAAGGTTATGATAAAGTTATTCTGCTTAAGCAAGAGATGTTGGGAGTACCCCTCCGAAAATCAAATTCTACCCAAAGATGTTTATCACCAATATTATTTCGCATTGTTGTTGAGATATTAGTCAATACAACCAGACAAGAGAAATAAACCAGAAATATAAAAATTAAGAGAATTTACTATATTGGTAGAGAAAAAATAGGATAATCAAGAATCAGTATAGAATATGTATCTGTAGCCAGACAGAAGGTATGATATAGGGAATAAGTTCATTTACACAACGGATTTTGAAAAAGAGATACACCAAACAACAGTGCCTTAAGTAAGCTATAAGATTCTTTTGCTTTCTTCTTGTTGTTGTTCTTTTTTCTGTTCATTTGTTTGGGGGTTTCTTGGTGCCAGTTCTGGGACTTGATCTCAAGGCCTGGGCATGGTCTAAGCTTTTTTTTTTGCTTAAGGCTAGCACTCTACCACTTGAGCCATATCTCACCTTCCAGCTTTTTGGTGGTTAATCGAAAGTAAGTGTCTCAGACTTTCCTGCCAGAATGACTTCAAACGATCCTCAGATCTCAGCCTCCTAAGTAGCTAGAATTACAGGCATGAGCCACCACTGCTAAGCTGTAAGATTCTTTTTTAATGTGAAAGTCATCTGACCATTTCTTGGGTTTGGTCCTCGTATTTGTGATCTAAGGTGGCTACTGGAACCCAGCCATTCAGGACACAGGAAAGAAGGAAAGAGGAAGAAAAGGAAGCCCCCCTACCCTGCTTTTTTTTTTATTGTCCGTCGTGGGGCTTGAACTCTGGGCCTGAGTGCTGCCCCTCAGCTTTTCAGCTGAAGGCAAGTGCTCTACTACTTGAGCCACAGCACCACTTCTGGTTTATTGGAGCTAAGAGTATCATGGAGTTTCTTGCCCGGGCTAGCTTTGAACCATGATCCTCAGATCTCAGCCTCCTGAGTAGCTAGGATAACAGGTGTGAGCCACTGGCGCTCGCCTGAATGCCCTTTTTAAAAAAACAAAAAACAAAAAACAAAACTTCTCCATATAGAATTGGCTACAATTTGGTCACCTAGCCACACCAAGCTCTAAGGGACTTTTAATTCCAGTTTACAGCTACTTGGCTTAAAAAGAAAAATATCAACGTTTTTTCTGCCTAAGGAAGGGAGGATGTATATTAGGAAAATTGGCAATCTGCCATAAAAAGCAACAAGAAATGTACAAGATCTATATGAGATAATTATTAAAATGCTCCAAAAGAACACAGAAAATACTTAACAATGGAAAGAAAAACAGCATTATAGAATAGGAAGACTCAATATCATAAAAATATCAATTCTCCCTGAGTTAATTTATAACTTTGAGCATGTTCCCAATAAAAATAGTACCAGGAACTTTTTTAACTAGACATACAATTCTAAAGTTCATATGGAAAAATAAACAAGAATAGTCAAGAAATTTTGAAAAAGAAAGGCACCAGTTCTGCTGGTGTTAAACATAATAAACTTGCAATAATTTAAAATTGTTGTCTAGAAAATAGTATAGAATAAAGGGTTCATAAAAATTCTAAGTACATCTGGAGATTTAATATAAGTTTTTAACAAAGGTCACAAGAAATTGAGATAGCAGAGGGAAACTGAGGATGTGATTAGAGGCCAGAGTTCAGGCATTCATGGCAGGAGGTGGGAAAGAAGCTTGTTGGCCTGGGACCTCCCTGGGTCACAGCTAGGGGCAGCTCCCTGAACCTGGCCCATATGTCCTACAGGCTCAGCAGGTGCTTATACTGGAATGGTGGCTTCTTCTTAAGGAAGAAGCTAACGTAGGAATCAAAGGGATGGATGGTGTACATCTTAGTTCAATTAGGGGTGGGGGAGGAACAGACAGAAGAAAAACTTAGAAGTCCACCGTATCTAGACTATCTCTGCAGTGTGGGAAGCCTTGGAAGAGACTAGGGCAGTGCCTTATGAGCCCCAGTTCTTCCATTTGGCAGTCTACAGCCACAGAAAGGCCAGATTCAGGCTGACATGGAATCTTTGGAATCTATTCCATTTATACAAAAATTAGAGCAAGTTTTTGCTATGGTTTGACAAAGGCTTGGTGTATTGTTTTTGTTGATTTGTTTTTATCAAGTTAATGATGTTGGCTGGCACTGGGTGGGGGGAGGGGGATCAACTCAAGGCTAGGAAGTAGAATAGGAGGGTTCAGGGTTGACACACCAGCTTTGGGAGCAGCAGAGCCCTGATAACTTTGAAGAAATCACTTACCTCCTTCCTACCTCTGCTCCGTTCTGCAAGGATAGTGTCTTAACAAGGCACACCTTCCCTAACTCAGGGCCTCCCTAATTCAGAGCACAAATGTGATGCTTGCTAAATCATGAGATGCTCTCATAAATTCAGTCACATAAAGAAGCATTGTTCTTGTTAGTTCTGTGATTGCCACTGCCATTAGGGTCTTTGTGCATGCAGTGTAAACCTTGCAAAAGCAGCTCTGGATATTAGAGCACAACGGGATATGAAACTCAGCTGAACCCAGATGGCCAATCTCCCAGTGTTGGAACACCTGCAGATGGGCATCCAGAATGCCCAAGTTCTCCCAACTTAGTCTTCCTGGAGATAGAGAATGGAGCAATATCACACGCTTTCAACTCATCCACGATCTATCCTATTAGTCTTTCTCGTGAGGCTACAAGCAGAACATGTCATCCTGATTTGACAGTCAGCTCAGCAAAGAAAGTGACTACACCAGGGCCCTGCCACAACTAATGCTAAAATCCCAGCCCAGCATATACCCCTGATTTCCCATCCTCCAACCAGAGCTGGACCTTGACCATACACAGGACAGGGGCCAGGACAGGGGCCAGGAAGCCTAGCTCCAATGGCTCCGCTTTGTCATGTCCCCTGTTCTTTCTGCAGTTCACAAGCATTTGCTTAGAGCAAGCAGCACATTTTATATGCTTTCTTCTTTCTCAAGGAGTCCCAGCCATACGCGGAAATGGGGTCACAGATGTGAGGCAAGGAGGCCTGAGAGCACTTCCTGCCCCACCTCCACATGGGCCTGGGTCCCTGGCAATGGCTTGAGCTCAAGTCCACATGACAGCAGCCATTGCATGCAAAGTGATTGGCCTTTCTTTGCACGACCCCTTACTCAAGAGTAGCTGCTGAGGAAGGCCCAGGGCGGAACCTCCAACCAGACAGTCTGGAATCTTCTTCAAGGCCAGGCTTGAGGTTTCTAGGTTTGGGTAGTAGGGAAATTCTTACTCAGAATCCTAGGTTTCGCATACGATTTTACACAGAATTTCCAAGTGTAAAATAGGCTGCAAAGAAGCCATACTGGCTTAAGGGCAGCATTCCCTGTGGCTGTCACCTCCTGCACAGAGCCATCTAGGCCCCTTAGGTCCAGGTTATTTCAACCAGTGTGCTTTTCGTCAGCCTCCACTTAACCAGATGTTCCCAGAAGCTGATCTTGCACACACATTGGAGCCCTGAAGACACTGCTCCCATTGATCTCAGCATAGATCGCAAACCCTCTTCCTGGCATTTCCAGCCGAGATCTTTGAGGTTGCTTCCAGCATACCTGCCTTGCCTCCTTGTTCTCTGGTTTCCTCATCACCTTTTTGCATCCACCTCCTCTTCTAGCCAATCATCAGCCTCCAGGTCAAGCCTGGTCCACATTGCTGACACCAACTGGCCACGAGCTCTCTAACCACCTGCAGTTCATATAATTGATGCCTTGAGTAGTAATTCCCATTCTCTGGTGGTTTTCTCTGATTTATTGGGTTAACCTGGTTGCCTTAGCTGATTAGAGGATAAGAATGAAAGATTAGGGCTGGGAAGGTGGCTCAGTGGTAGAGCGCTTGCCTTGCATGCATGAGGCCCTGGGTTCAATTCCTCAGCACTACATAAGCAGAAAAAAAAGGCAGGAAGTGGTGCTGTGGCTCAAGTGGTAGAGTGCTAGCCTTGAGCTGAAGAGCTGAGGGACAGCGCCCAGGCCCGGAGTTCAGGCCCCACGACCGGACCCCTCCCCCCCAAAAAAGAATGAAAGATTAGCTTCCTTTTTCTCTCCTAGATGTGTCTCAATAACATGAATGTCAGAGTATAATGAGACTTCCATAAGTGGCTACTATTAAACTCAACAGTTGTTTTTACATTTTGATGGAACCCAGGCCATATTCATGCTAGGCAAGCACTCTACCACTGAGCTACATCCCAGCCTAAACTCAGCAGTGTTGGTACATTCTTTAAGCTGTGTTAATTCCTCCCTCTTGCTAAAAAGATGGTAATACCACTGGGGGCTGACCAACTGGGAGAGAGCCCCTAACTGAAGTTGGTTTGGGGTGGGTTGAACTTCCTCCAGGACTTCCTTTTCTGGAGGTTTCCCTAGCTTATGTGTATCTCTCCAACTCAGAGAAGACCATATCAGGATGAGTGAGATTCACCTTGTGCTCTTGGCCTGTCTTGCAGGGATTTGAAACTGGACAACATCCTTCTAGATGCAGAAGGTCACTGCAAGCTAGCTGATTTTGGAATGTGCAAGGAAGGGATTCTGAATGGTGTCACCACCACCACATTCTGTGGGACTCCAGACTACATAGCTCCTGAGGTAAGACCCTTGTGCAAAGAGCCACCTCCTTAGGACTAGGGATGAGTCAGAGGTACAACACCATGTACTGGGCTCATTGAGTGGAACTGGGAGAAGACTCTGGAACACCAGGATGGATTCTAGGAGGGAGAAACAGGAAAAGGAAAGGTTTGCTGGTTTCTTTATATGGATGTGGTAGTGATGGGAGAAGGTGGATGAACTAAGAGTAACAGGTCATTCCCCATATCTGGGGGAGGCCTTATGGGACATCCTTCCCTTTGCTTTAGCCCAGAACCACCAACAAAACTGACTAAGAAACTTAACTAATGCCATTGTTTGCACTTCTTCCTCATCAGAATAAAGATGCACCATTCAAAAAGCCAGCAAGTCGTTTCCTCAGCTTTAATTTGCCTGCCGTGGAACCGGGAAATGTTTGCCATTTCCATTGTGATGGCAGTTCCACACCATGGGTACACAGGATAGAACAAGAAATGGACAGAGCAGAGATGTCATTGTGAGCCTCAGCAACAGCTTACCTTACATTACAGTTGTTTGGATGTTTTGCCTAACAAATATGAAGCCTTTTGTTCAGTCCCTAGTCACACACACACACACACACACACACACACACACACACACACACACACACACTCTAAATACCTTGATTCTGAGACACAGAAGATGGGAAGGTGTTAAGCGTTGCCCATGGGGATGCGATATCAGCACACTGGAATTTCATGTCCTTTTTAAAAGCATTGTTTGGACATCTTCTAGACACAAAGAAATGTGGGATAAAAAAATTGACTGAACCAGATGTGGGTGGCTTACGCCTGTGATCCTAACTACTCAGGAGGCTGAGAGTTGAGGATTGTGGTTCAAAACCAGCCAGAGAGGAAAGTCTGTGAGTCTTTTATCTTCAATAAACCAAGAAACTGAAAGTGGATCTGTGATTCAAGTGATAAAGAGCCAGCCTTGAGTGAAAAAAAAAAAACACTAAGGGACAGTGCCTAGGCCCTGAGTTCAAGCCCTGATACCAGCACCAAAAAAAAACAAAACAAAACTTGACTGCATCACTGAAATGAACATAAGGACTTTCCACTTGGACCTGCTTTTCTCATCTTCTTCCTTCCTTCTTTATCATGAGCATGCTCAGTTCCAGAGTCAAGGGGTCAGCAGCCAGTATAGTAGCTGGGAACCCCACCCAAGAAAAACATTCACTTTACAATGAGCACAACGCCCACTCAGCTTCCACACAAAGCCATCCACTGGCAAGACTCTGATGTCTGCTCATAACAAGGTCCAGTCACCCTTCCTTTCCACTCTGTCCTTTGCCCACTGTGCAGAATCACCACGACACCAGATAAGACAAACAACTTTGATCTTATGGCAGGAAGATGACAGCTGAGAGAGAACAGCAGAGAGAGAACGGCATTGCCAACTTTACCAAGGGCTAGCGGGAAGATGAAATGGAGTTGTGTCTCTGAAACACTTAACAACAGTGCTCGGTCCATAGTGAACACCAAGAGCGGGCTCCCCTAATTACCTTCTTCATTGGCTTATGTAATAGGGCAGGAAAAACAGTCTTGAGAATTGAGACTCGGAGTCCCAACTTAACCAAAATGCCCCTATGTGCCCTTGATGAAGTCAGAAAATGTTCTTCACCTTTCCGATGGGAATTACAAGGCCTGCCCTACCCATCTCAGCAGGCTGTTTTGACAGCCTGATAGGATTTCAGCATGGGACTGCTTCAGAAGATAGAAGCCTGTATTCAAGCAGGAGAGGCTAGCCCTGAAACCAGAGCCACTGTTCTAAGGCAAAGGGTTCTCTTCCTGCCCTGGAGGAGCCCTCTGGCATACCTCTCTTTTCTCCATGCTTGGCCCCTGCTTCCCAGGAGAGGGCCAATAGCCTTGGGCAACTTCTGAGGTCATTGGCTCCTCTCTCCCATCCCAACTCTGACCCACTCCAGGGGCTGGCTGCCACACCAGGTCTCCCCCCCCCCCTTCCATGTATGCAAAGCCTTGCCCTTGTTACCAGCTCCATTGCTAGGAGGCTGATTGGGACATAGATAATTAGGGCCAATCCTGAAAAGGAATTTGACAAAAGATGCCACCCAAGAAGACTCTGACAGGACCTGGGAAGATTGGATATGGCCACTGTGCAGTTTCCACCATCTGTTCTGAGCACACACAAGCCACACCCTAGAGGTACAGGCCTCGACTATTCCACATCCCTGAGGCTAGAGAGTACACCTTTGTACTTAGAACTCTTTGAGCACAGGAGTTAGCAGAGTGCACTGATTAAAGTATACCCACTGATGCATATGAAGTGTGAGCTGTCTGCACTGGACATAGAAGAAAAAGAACTAAGCAACCCAAAGACAGCGATGGGAAGGGAGGAATAAGAGGGAAAGAAGGACCAGCCTACACTAAGCAAAAGGGAAGAAATGTAAACATCACCTGATGTGGAAGAAATAATTGTATTGTCAAAGCTCATAGAATTCACAAACTTCATAAATCATGATAATGACAAGTTGCCTTGTGAAGGTTAAAATGTCTCTGTGACTTTAACTAGGTATCAGTATTCCCAATATTGTGAAATATGTGAAATTTATGTAATCACCTAATCTCAATGTAAAAAAGAAAAGTGAGCGAAGGGATGGGTTAAGAGCAATGGGTGATAATGTTGTCAGGCACCTTGTATTCATATACTGTTTTGTAGAATGGGAACTTCTTTGTACAACTTCTTAAAGATAATAATAATAATAATAAAATGTTAAAAAAAAAAAAGAATTGTGAGCTGTCTCCCGATGGGCAGTCATATCAGTGGGCACTGAAGAATTCTAGAACCTTTACTTTCTGGTGCTTTAGAGATGCCCAGGGGAGACAGTTGACCATGGAAAAATAATTTTTTAAAAAAAGTCAGTCGTAAATGGGAAGTGCCTGTAAACCTAAGGAACAGGTAGGGTCTTAGGATGTCAGAGCATAGGAGAAAGAGCTAGAGAAATGACGGAAAGAGAGGGGATGGCTTTTTTTCTGTCCTTCCAAAGAGTACAGGGCATAGGTAAATTCGACATTGTTACCCTTGAAGGAAGATGGAGCTGTGCGGGCAGTGTCCGCGCAAGCAGGGCGCCTGTTGTGGGCTGTATGTGAGGAAAAACCTGAACTCGTGACATGCCAGTCACTTTCAGCTTGCATGGGTCTGGTGGAGTTTGCAGTTTACTCCCCTGACTCTGTGCCTCATGTCAAAATATGCATTTTAAAAATATGGTCCTAGCAGGATCCCAGTGGCTCATGCTTATAATTCTAGGTACTCAGGAGGCTGAGATCTGAGGATCTCAGCTCAAAGCCAGTCCAAGAAGGAAAGTCCATAAGACTCTTATGTCTAGTTAGCTATCAAAAAGCTGGAAGTGGTTCTGTGGCTCAAGTGGTTGAGCCTTGAGTGAAAAAGCTAAGGAATAGTACCTGAGTTTAAGGCACAGGACTGGCACAAAATACTACATAATAATAGGAATATGGCTTCAAATGTAAGTCAGAGACTAAGTCTAATGCTCAAAGAAATAGACATTTTCCACTACTGATATGGACTTAGGGGAGAGAACAGCTTTCCAAAACAAAGTGCCTCACAAATTTGGTTCTCTCTGAATGTATTAGTTTAGGCTGTCCCTTGAATAACGCAGCTCTTTTATGTGAAAACGGAGGCATAGACCTTCCCACAGGAGTTTGTGGTAGGGGGTGTTGGTGGGATGAGGACCTTCAGTGGTCTCTGACATTGTCTATTTCCTGAACAGATCCTGCAGGAATTGGAGTATGGCCCCTCAGTGGATTGGTGGGCCCTGGGTGTGCTGATGTACGAGATGATGGCCGGACAGCCCCCCTTTGAGGCTGACAATGAGGATGACCTGTTTGAGTCCATCCTCCATGATGATGTGCTCTACCCCGTCTGGCTCAGCAAGGAAGCTGTCAGCATCTTGAAAGCTGTGAGTCATTGTTCCTTCACCTGTTGTTCTGCTCCCTGGGACTCTTGTCTTATATATCTTCACATGTGTGCTCTCTCTCTCTCTCTCTCTCTCTCTCACACACACACACACACACACACCACATGCTTTTCTCCCTTTCTCTTCCCCACCTCTCACCACTATGTGAGAATTCACAGCTGCCCCATGGTGGGGAGGGGGTGTTCAGGCAGGGTTTAGAGGCTACCACTGAGTATCCAGCCCAGAATGATTATTCTTGTAGGAAAGGAACAGCATGTATGTGCGTCTGGAGATGGCACACTGTGCACATGACCTTCAACATCTCAGAGATGGCAGATCCACCTCAAGTCCACTCATTACACTTGGAGCAAGGTCTTTCTTCCTCATCTGCCACCTGGCATATGTCTGTATTAAGGCCGAAGAAGGGGAAGAGAGGCGGAGAGGAGGGGCAGGGCAACATTTTCATTCTGACTGCCTTTCTTCATCCTCACACCCTGCTGCCATGTCTCCCATAGTGGCCAGCAGGCTCTGCTGCCTCTCTCTCTGTATGTCATGCTTCGTGCCCTAGTAAGGATTAGCCACGATTGCAAGCTGAGGCTAAGGAAAGATCTCCATCTTCAATGTAGTATCCATGGTCCTGTATAAGACTATGCCTACTGCTTGGCCATTCTTCTCGCTGGCTGGACTCAGACCACACTCCGTGTAGGTCCTTCCTACACCAGCTTTCTCCCTGACCGTTCTCCACTCTCCTCTTTTTCCTAGGTACTTCTCCTCCAGGTCCTTAGTGGCGATTCTGCCAGCTTCCTTGCCCCAGAGAGAAGCTCCAATTATAGGCTCATAGTTTGCTATACTTATTGTAGTCTCCACAAATCCAGTCTTTTAGGGATCTCTGAGTGCCTTTCCAGCCTCTAGCTCCATGAGGCAGGGAACATGGCTCTTGCCATCTATCCCCATTTCAGAATGGGGATATTCGTACACATCTGTAAGAATAAGGGGGGGGGGTGATGGGCAGGTGAGGAGCACTTGCCCCCTCCAGTGCTCAGTGCGGTCTCAGTATCCAGCAATGACTCTGAGGGCTGACTTTTCCCCAGTTCCCTGTCTTTCAGGAAGGTCAAGAGTTGAGAGGAAGGAGGTATCATCCAGCAGAAATCTAGCTTAAGGGATGAGATTATCCAACTTTTCACATGAAATTCCTTTTGTTCTTAACAGATGTGGTAATAACTCGCTTCTGTAATCTTAGCTCCTAGAGAAGCAAAGATCAGGAGGATGACACTTCCAGGCTAGCCGAGGCAAAATGTTCTCAAAGCCTCCAGTCTCAACCAGCAAATATCTAAGCATAGGGTTGCATGCTTGTCATCCTAGCTGCATGCTCCCAGCTGGTCAGGACATAATCATGAGTTTTCATTCAAAAAATGATTGGAATTGTGGCTGAAGGGGTCATGTGCCTGCTGCCTAGCAGAGGCAAGTCCCTGAGTTCAGACCCCAGGATTACCACCAAGAAAAACAAGCTCTTGGTTTTTTTGAGTTTATATATTAAAGCTTTATATATTTCATGATTGGTTTGCTTGTCTCAATGGGTAAGAATGTCACATGAGCTTCTAAAACAGCAAAAAGATAAAGATGGGACACAGTAAAATGTCCCTGTCTTCTTATTCCCATCTGTCCAGTTCTCATGTTCTTTACACCAGAAGTGGGTCTTTCTTTACATCTTTATGTGTCCTGCAGTTACTGATTCTTATGTGCGGCGGTACTACATGTTTGTCAGTTTCTGCTCCGTGAGGGAACCTAGTCTTTCATTTAGTGGAGCATCTCAGCACATGACCATTTGCTCTGCCTGTACTTGAATCTGCAGCACAGAACAGCTGCTAGGTATGTGGCCCACAGAGCAGAGGACTCTCCTGGGGCGATTGTCTGGGAATGAACAACACAGGACTCTAATCCTGCTCCACTTCTCAGAGCTATAACAGCCTCAGGTCAGCAGAAAGCCTGAAGAAGACCCTCAACACCATAGGACACTGTGCCTAGCAGACACCAGTCTAGTCAATCGCCCAGATGTGCCTTTGTGGGCACAGCAGTGGAGCCCTTTGATTTCCTATGACACAGAACAGGTACTCTCTAGTGGAGGTGATTCTGCCACCCCCTTTACACACACACACACACACACACACACACACACACACACACACACACATATCAATGTCTGGGGAATATTTGAGATTGACCCAATGTAGGGCTAGAGGTAGTTGCTATTGACATATTTAGGGTACTAAATAAGCTTACAGTAAGTTTAACAGCTTACAATACGCAGGACAGTCCCCCCTAACAAAGAGGTATCCAGTTCAAAGTGTCAGCAATGAGGTTGAATAACTTTGACCTGGATAGATATCAGAAGTTAGAGGTCACGCTAGACTAATGCTTCCGTGTCTTTGAGAAGAGCCTCTGGCTCAGGGGAAGTGTCTGGACATGTTCATACTAGCCCATGCTAGCCCGATCTTTCGCCTCCCAGAAGAGGGAAGCAGGAAGAGCTATGGAAGCCCTTGGCCTTGAACTCTCTGCTTCCTCACATTGTCACTTGATTTTAGAGCTAGACCAGGACATCTGTAATACTGGCCTCAGAGCTGTGTCTCTAAGGGCTGCTACCTATGTGAAGGTGGCACTGAACTCTACAGAAGGCTATTTGCATCACAGATTTATACAGTGCACAACCTCTGCAGCAGCAAGTTGCCAAATCACCCTGCCTTTCTTTCTTAGCGTGGTGTCCTGAGGCCCTGTCTTTAGCCTTCTGTTCTGTCATCGTGGCCGACTAAGTGCACACTAGAAAGCAGACACTGAGCCAGATGCTGGCCAGATGGAATTGATTTCTACAATGCGAGCCCACCAAGAGAAGGAAACATTTAGACAATTTAGATATCAAACAAACATAGAGCCTCAGGCACCAAGTCTGGGGAAGCTCCACAGAGGAGGCAGCTTCTTTTATTTATTTTTTTTGGGGGGTGGGGAACAGGTAGGAGATTGAACTCAAGGCTAGGGTGATAGCCTTTAGCTTTTTTACTCAAAACTGGTGCTCTACCACTTGAGCCACTCCTCTGCTTTCAGCTTTTTAACAGGTTAATTGTAGATGAATGTCATGGACTTTTCTGTCCTGGCTGGCTTTGAACCAAGAACATAGGATCTCAGCCTCCCGAGGAGCTAGGATTACAGGCATGAGCCTCTGGCACTGGACAAGGCAGCTTCTTGATAGCTGCCTTAGACAATGCCCAGGTAACAGAGAGAAGCAATCAGCAGAGAGCAAAGGATGCAAAGGGTGAGCAAGATGGATAGGATTCAGACCAGGAAGCTCCTGTGCGCCATATGAAGTATACATGTCACGCCGTGGGACCACCAAGGCGTTTAAGCAGGGTAACCTTTCTGAGGAACAGACGCGACAGATGCAACGTGTCACTGCCATGGCCATTCGAGGGTGCTCTTTCACCCTCTTACCTGAGGCTCTCCCCTCCAGCAGCATGTGCCTCCTGTCCACGTGCTATTGTTTCAACAGCAGCAGGGAAGAGAGATGGTAGGAGATGATCCTGCCCTTGCTGGTGAACCCTGAGACTCATCCTTTTTAGATTCATTCCTTTGGCTTGTGCTTTGCCTGTTCAAATCCTTGGGTTAGATGCAGACCATCCCCCTTTGTCCTATGGAACATAGTACTTTATCCTTTGTATGCATGCACATTTATACCTGCATCTTTTGGCTCTCAGAAATAGCACTTCCTGAGCCCAGTGCTGGTGGCTCATGCCTATAATCCTAGCTACTCAGGAGGCTGAGATCTGAGGATCATGGTTCAAAGACACCCCAGGCTTTGAAAGTCTGTGAGATTCTTATCTCCAATTAACTTCCAGAAAACTGGAAATGGTGCTGTGGCTCAGGTGGTAGAGCGCTAGCCTTGAGATGAAGAACTGAGGGACAGTGCCCAGACCCAGAGTTCAAGCCCCACAACCAATCAAAAAACAAAAAAAAAAAAGGAAATAGCACTTCCTGGCATTTTGAGGGGTATATATTGATTATATTATTAGTTATAGTAATGCTTACCATCAGGACTGACTTATTCAGTAACTCTATCCAGGGATGGGGGGGTCACAGGACACCCCTAGAACATAGGGATTCCAAAGCAATAGGCCTTTCCTTCTCTTGTCTTTTACCTTTTGACCACTGTGAGAATTTTTGTGTATCTATTACAAATTCAAATATTTAAAAACATAGGAGAGACAAGGACATGGGACAGGAAAAGGGCAGAAGGTATGTTTGATCATCTACCTACACGTGCATACCTGGTCTTCTTTACCTCCAAAAGGATTTGACCTCTTGCTATGAATAGGTTTTTCAAATCCTCATCTCTTTGGTGAGAAGACTTGAAAATCTAAGTGAATCAGAGAGTTAAGAGCCTAAGATCCTAATGTTGACTTGGTTACCTTACTAGCTATGCCACCTTGGCCTGGTTAATTAACCTATACAAGCCTCAAGAACCTCCAATATAAAGTAGAGGCATCAGTAGCATCCTATAGGATTGGGTGAGAATGAAATAAGTTCATGTATATTGTGTGTACACACTGGTCACTGGCATATACCACATCACACATGCCAGAGTTCTAGAACACCTTGAAAAGTGAGACCCCTACAAATGCCAACATAAGCTGTGGGCAATGACATCGAAGATGCTCCCTGGGCAGGCTTCAGCCTCTGCATCTGTCAATAATTCTGTGCTATGTCCTCCTCTCCACAGTTCATGACCAAGAATCCCCACAAGCGCCTAGGCTGTGTGGCCACGCAGAACGGAGAGGACGCCATTAAACAGCACCCATTTTTCAAGGAGATCGACTGGGTGCTCCTGGAACAGAAGAAGATCAAGCCCCCCTTCAAACCCAGAATTGTAAGTGGAACCCTAACATGTTCCATTCGACAGGCCAGCGGGTACCTATGCAGCAGGCTGTGCACCCAGAAAACCTGGCCGTGGGTGTGGCTTACAGCCCTGGTGACCAGCAGGCGAAAGCTGGGTTTCTCCCTGAGGAAGGGACTCTTAGGCCTAGAGCATGGACTGCTGAATATATGGGACTCACAACACTCATGAAGGGATGGCCTGTGGTGGCCACAGCACTGCATTTCTTATTTCTGCAGAGACTCCTTTGTTTATTTGGGTCAAAATTTACAAGGCTTCTTCTATATCTGGTAGAAATATACAGTTTCTTGATAGATTAATGAGGTGGGTTTCTTTGTGTGATTGATGGACTCTTTGAAAGCATACATTTAAAGTAAAATGTTAATACTGCTCGCAATCATGGTATAGCACTAGTGCAGAGCAGGAGGTCTAGGTGCTGTGGGGGAAGACTGGCCCTAGGGTTCTGCCTGGAAAAGCTATTTCCTGGGACCTTGTTAAGTCCATTTCTCACTCCCAGGTGGAGTACGGGGGCCAAGGACATCAAGGATGTGTGACACTCAGAAGATGGAAAAAGAAACTGAACTGCCATCTGGGCATAACTCTTAAAATAAAGATTGTGTCTTGCCAGTGGTCTGCCACTGATGGAGAGAGGGCGAGAAAAGAGAGGGAGGGAAGGTGAGAGGAAGAACATGAGAGAGAGCATCAGTGACAGGGCCTGTAATGTATGTGGGACGTGTTAATTGTGTTGTTTTGTAGCCCAGTGAGACAATCCATCTCAGACTGGGACTCTGGTAGCCAGCAGGCAGATAGATTCCTGGGAGTTGGACGGGAGAGTATAACATGCAGATACTGAGAGCAGAGAAGCCAGGGATCCAAGCAGAGGAGATCTGAGATCATCCAGTCAGCCCTCCATCACCTGAATTCTGTCAGCGGAGTCATAGGAAGCTGACAAAAATCAGACTCTTCAGTCTGATTCTTACCCAGCTCCTATAGAAAAGACTCTCTTGGGCTTTGTGGATCCACAAAGAAGAATTCTATTCTCCATGAGGCTTTCTGTGATTACTGATAGTGCTATGATCTTAGCATACTACTGGAGGTGAAAGCAAAGTTGAAGGGCATCAGCCAATCCCAAAGAGACCATTCCTGGATGTTTAATCAGCTACCATTCCTCTTGTACTTTCTCCTTTGAACTGCATGGTTTTTGTTGGGAGTATTAACCTGGGATAGACTAGGTATAAGATCCCCCTTGTTTCTTTGTGAACCTCTCCTCTCCTTTGGCCTCTCTCCCCATGGCTCTGGACCTCTGCTCCAAGCTGTGACAAGGGTTTGACATATGGGAAAGTATTAGGATATAGCTGCTCAGGCTGACTGGCCTCTGCTTTACATGTCAGCCTGCCTGGAGGCTGAAAGCTGGGACCTCTATCCAAGTCTCAAAGAACAAGATTTACTGACCCCATGTAAATGGAGAAAGCAGATTCCAGTGGCCTAGCGGAGAGAAAAAAAGGCTTGGATCTATCTGAGGATAAATTTTAATTTAGATTTAACCTAAACTAATCATCCCCTAGAAAAAAGAGAAATAGAGTTGAGTCCTCACCCAGCTAGGAAGAAATTAATGGCTAGTTAGACATTAACACTGTCTTGGGACCCTGTGTCAACAAAATCACTATGAATTAAACTTGGGGTGCCCCAGGCCCCACAGGACTGCACAGAGATGGAGGAACAAGTAGTCTGTCTGGTGTAGGGAGGAGAGGATCAGGGAAGATTCTTGAATGTATAGGGGAAAAGAGTAGATAATGAGCATAGGAAGTTAAAGAGTCTCTAGAGACACCCCTGGAAAAAAGGGAGAGTCACAAAGGACATTTTAACATAGCAATCATGGAGACAAGATTCTCCCTGGGATATGTAGGTGACAGGACCTTAAGGGTGAAGGGCCAGGGCCAGGAGTTTTGAGTCAAATCCAGTAGATACACATCAAGTAAGGGCAGAGTGAGGGGAGGAGAATAGTGTATGTCAACTCATGGACCTACAGGCTGGAGTACAACCCAGTCACAGAGGAAACAAGAGTGAAGAACAGGTAGAGGCTGGTGTGTGAACTACTTTGCTAATGTGCTGGCAGGGATCCCATTTGGACTATCTCTGTCTAACCTAGAGACAGGAACTCTCATGGACAGGAGTGATGATCCCCTGAGAACCAGCAGGAAGAAGTACTTCCCTAGGTCAGGAGTCAGGTGGGATTTCCTAGGTCCCTGGAGCACAAGGGATCAGAATTTTCTCTTCCTCGATCCTCTCAACACCACCACCAAGGACTGAGGAGTAGTCTTGATCACTTCCTTTCCTGGGGCGGGGATTGGAAGCTTCACTATCCCTTGAGTGAATGGCAGGACATGGGCCATCCGGAACCTCCCTACATCTGTCTTAGTCAGTTTCCTAAAGTCTGCCTTCACCATTTCCATGGAGACTTGACTTCTGTGTATATCCTCACTCTGCCCTAGAACGCCAGAATTATCCCATACCCTAGGTGGGCGCATCAGGGAGGCTTTATTAGGCTGATTAATTTCAGCTAGGGGGAGAGAATGAGAGCATCTTGGAGAAGAAGTATGGGACATTGTACAAGAGGTGTTCCTGGTCACACTGGCCGAATCACGTGGGTCCTTACAGTACTCTCAGCTACAGGTCTCTAGAGGCTTATTTCAACACGTTAAGTGCCTGGTCACATCTTCATCCTTGAGACCTGAGGTTTCTCTCAAGAGAAATATCAAAATTGGGTTTTAGGAGATGCCTCCTGTTTAGTTAACCATCAGGAAGGTGTCCCAGCTCTGTTCCTGAAATATGAAAATGGCACCAGCACTGAGAAACTGCATTTCTTGACTCAGAAGGCCTTAAAGAACCAGGGTGAAAACTCACACCAGGTTTTTATGAGCCATCACCTCCCCTCTCATTCCCCCCCCCTCCGCCCCGTCTAATTGGCTCAGGGTTACCCCCTGGGATATGGGTATCTACTTAGTCCAGATGGCAGGAGGAAGCAGGTACATCCTTACAATAAGGTAAACAGATGGGTACCCACACAAGGCCACTGGGGAGACACTGACAAGCTGAGGCATATCCCCACAGAGCTCTTCCTTCTACTCATGGGAGAAGACCAGCTTTCCTTGGGCTTAAAGAGTCGTGTGATGTAGATAGCAGTTCCTGGGAGAGCAGTTCCTGGGGAAGAAAAGACTTTGGCAGAAGGGGAAAGGTGGTTCTGAGCCTGGCATTGGGAAGAATTCTCAGCTGGCTATGGTCGCAAGGAGATAGTGAAAAGGTGTTGACAAGCAAGGAGCGTATAGTACATGAACAGCCCCCATCTCCTGTGGGCTGATATCTCCAGTTTGATCAGATGCTGGGGTATTTGATGGAACTCAGGGCTCCCTCTGTCTGGGGATAGCTCCATTTGCTCCTGGGACATTCCCTGCACACCAGAATGCCACCCATCTCTAAAACTTGCTCAGTAGTAAGTGTTGTACTCCTCCGCTTGCTGCCAACTGGATCACCTGGGGGTATTCTACATGTTGGATTCAGGAAGGAGCTGGTTTTGTGAGATAGTTTGTCAGGCACTGAAGGTGAGACTTAGCTTAGCACTCCAGAAGAATCCAGGTGTACCTTCTGACCTTTCTTGACTCCCATCACACAACCAAACTTGCCTCAGCAGGCTTAGTCTCAGCTGGAGGCAGGGGCCCTGGCTCACACCCACAGAACCAAGGATACATCAAGAAAATAGCTCAGGGCTTGACTCTAAACCCTCTGCAGAAAGCCTTCCCCCCATCACCCAGAAGATATCACCAAGGAGATTATCCAGATTGGAGTCTGGAATTTGGCCTCTGGTCTGGTTCCATCACATACCTCGACTGGCTGCTGTCCCTCCAGGCTTCTGCCTTGCTGAGGTGTTTGCTGAACTCAGATTTCTGCTCCCCTGGTGTCTCCACCTCTCTGTGTCACTCCTGCCCTGATTCCCAGCTATCATGAGTGCATCTGGGTTTCCTGCCTTCAGACGGTCACCCCCCCTAACTAACTCCCACCCAGGACACTTCTCAGTGGCCTCTGCTTCCGCATGGACAGTTGCGTCTCTATTTGTCCTCTCAGCTGTCATATATATCCTCTTTCCTCTGTGTTCTCATTTATATTTCTCCTCTCTACCCTCTTATCTACCCACATGCCGAACTGATTTTCTACAAGTGATGTATCATCACTACCAAAACCAAAGCCTACACCAATGGGTGCTCAAATCATTTACGGGGATTGGCTGGCTGCAGGGCAAGGGCACATGGTAGAACATGTGGATGAATCCCTGCCATGAGTGAGCAGGGGACTAGGAAAATTATCATGGCTTGTGTCAAAGCTTTTGATATTTGATTATAATATCTAAACATGGAGTCCACTGGTCTCTCCCCTTGGGGACTCACTTCAGAGATGGTAGTACTTACTATGTAATCACCCAGGAAAGCGGCACATTTAGCTTATGTGCTAATAGTGAGCTTACCTTGCTTTGGGGCCATAGGGAGAAGAGTGGTGTGTTTGTAGGGCATCATCTGAGTCTACAGATAGTGGGGGTATTCTGTCCACTCGTGGCTTCCTCTTGTGTGTCTATTCCTTGTTCTCCAAAGCATTACATTCTGAGGTTATGGCTCTCGGGGCTTTCAGCAATGGAATTGAGGGGGAAGCCAATATAGGAAGAAGAGAGCTGCCTCCCCAGAAACCTAGCTGTCCTCAGTGAACACCAAAGACGATGAGGGAAATGCTGGCCAAGTAAACTTCTTTTTGTGTACGTGTTCTCTCTTTTCAAGTTTGCTTCAGTGTGAATGTCCCTCTTTAAGGTAAGGCCTCCAGAGTGGGGAGTCTCTCCAGGTAGGTGAGCCCGCAGGCCCGGTGACATAGAGGCCCCTTTCAACCTCATGATCGTCTCCATCCGGCCATCCATGCTGCATGGCAGGACCCCCGAGGGAGGCCCCTCCTGCATG